ATAATAGCAACTTGAACATAAAATGTGAAGAGAAAATGGGAGATTACTCCCTAAGGTTCAAAATTAAGCCTGTTGCATAACTTACAAGAATTTTTCATAATTCATCTCTTTGAAAATGAGATGAACTCATTTTTTTTATTGAACTTTGAGAAATCAATTTTGTTTTACTTACTGTTCCAAAGTCTTAATTAACATAGTAGCCCTTTCCCCATCCCACCACCCAAAAGAAACTTAATGGCTTGTTTTACTTAGATTGCTTTGTCATTTCACACTTACATGGCCTTACATGGAAACATCCCCTCCTAAGGGTTAACTTGGACAGCTAACCCCATTAAGTGGGAGGGAACTGTCAGAGGAGTTGGGGGTTGGGGGAGTCTCTGTCTGTTCTTGCAGAGGCTCTGACAAGTGAGCAGCTTTATCCTGAAATCCAAGAAAGGAGATGCATTTCTGCAGTTTCTCCACTAACAGCATAGGAGCTGAGCAGCTTCAAGTGAAGTTAAAGACTGAACCAATTGGTTTTCAACTGTTCTGATAGCTTTTACAAACTAAGCACAATGATTTTCGTGTGGACATAGCATTTTGTTCCTCATTTTTTAAAGGGTTTGTTAAAATTTAGACGTGTATAAACAAAATGTTAACGTTTAAAGTACCTGTATTTGACACTTTATCCTTGCTGTGGCCCTGGCAGATTTGGCCTCATTGATTCCAGCATCGAACAAGTACATAAGATGGTTTTCACTCAGACTCTGGAGTCTGAGCATTTCAAAGTCAGTAGTTATCTGTTTAAAAAGCTTCAGCCTTTAGGTTACTCCTTCTTAAATATGTGGGACCTTTGGTTAATTTGGATCAGGAAAACTCTTCCCATTTTAAACCAATGTCTCTTGGCAGAGGACTTATTATTGCCTCGTAGGGAAAAAGTATATACTTCATTTGCTATTACTCCAGTTATGCCTTAAAATTATTTGCTTAGTGACCCTATCAACAAGCACTAATTTCCTAGTATGCTTTACAACATGTAGACAGTTGGGTAGCAACTGAGACTTTGTTGTCCTTTAATTCTTGCTGAGATGGAGTTAGCTGTTAGTCACAGCTGACATGAAATTTGTGTTGTTATTTAGACAGTTACTGATTTGATCTGCTTCATATATGAGAACACATTTTTAACTAGTTTTAACTATTCTACTTTAAGAAGGAAGAGGTGGTTAAATGTAATCCGCTCTCCCTATCCCCCACTCCAAAAATTGAACTTAAGTTCCAGGTAGACTAATTGGGAACAAACATGGAGGGAGTTTTAGATGCCTTAGCTAAACCCAGCAGAAATCTCTCACACAGCCATTCATACGAAGGAATGCAGATTTCTCTTCCTGTGCTTGTCTCTCGTTCCCTGTGTTTGTAGTGACAGAGAACTTTCACCATGGCAATATACAAAGAAGGTAGTATGCTTGAAGTCCCTGTTGGAGTTTGAGTTAGGTACATAATACAGAAAGGAGTGGTAAAGCTGGCTGAATGTGACCATTCACTTCCTATTCTGGAGTGACTTACCTAAGGCATCCTATGCATATGGGCCAGAAGGGCAAAGGACAAAGCACCAACTTCATCCAAGAAATTAGATCCAACTCTTGATTTTCCACAATAAGGATTATCGCAAGCAAATTGTAAGTTTGTCATCTTTCCTCTGGTTCATCAGGTTTTGAGGCTGTACTATGAATTCCTGTCAATGAATATGAGCTCAGGAAATGGGAATGTTGATATTTCAAGAAAAAAATGTGATTAAGAAGTTGGAAGTTTTCATAAAAGTGCATTTATAAACCAAATCCTTTTAGGGGAGATGCTGGATGCTATTGTTCATTTTTCCATTAGCAAAAATGATCAAGCCTTCAATTCATTTATTTTAGGCTTTGTTTCATTGATACATTTTGTTTTCCCTGCTGTAATGAGAATGTTGTTTGGAAATGTCATACTCTGTATTTATAATTCTCTGAGAAATGCTTTTGTATGAGTCTTAGGTCTGACATTGCAGTAGTTGGTAGACTCGGTAAAGGATAATCTAGTGACAAATCACTGAAAATGTGTTACCTCAAAACCAGATAAAATACAGTGTTTATATATATAGAAAGCAGAGGGGATTGGCTGTTTTCCAAGAACTTCAAGTCAACAATTCTTATGCAAGGAAAAGTTCTTAACTCTAGAGACTTGTTCTGCATAAAGGAGACATTCTTTAATAATGGAAGAGGTGGTTTTATTTTTACTACAAGCCTACTCATATTACCAAACCTATAACCAATTGCTGATCTCCTGTGTAAAGCATTTTTTTTTCTTTTATCTGAAACAGTGATTTATATGAACTGTTGGAATAATGGAACCTCAAACTACAGATGTGTATGTAAAATTGCGTAAATGCACTGACTTCCTTCTCCCTGACTATATTTTTAATAAACAGCATTATCCTACATGGTCAGTTTTATTAAATTATGCACAACTAGAGGGTTCTTCTGAGAAGTGGTATGTGCTTGTATGGGTGGCTTTTGGAAAGCTTCCTATTTTGGTAAGTAATGAAGTGACCTTACCTTTTTTATTTTTTTTG